TAGTGTCCCGATAAACCAGTGATTTCAGGTTAACTGTGATGCATACACTTGGTCTGGGATGCATGTTAATACAACAAGGTAGAGTACTAGCCTATGGTTCAAGGCAGTTAAAATCCCATGAACAGAACTATGCTGCCATGATCTTGAATTGGCAACCATTGTTTTTGTACTTTAGATTTGGCATCATTACTTGTAGGACAAAACTTATGAAATCTACATTGATCACAAGAGTTTAAAATACTTATTCACTCAAAAGGAACTCAATATGATATAGAGACGCTGGATGAATCTCTTAAAGGACAACGATTGCCAAATCCTATACCAGCCCGGTAAGGGTATTGTAGTTGTCGATGCTTTTAGCAGGAAGAACTCAACACTATTAGCCAAAATGAAGATTTTGAAATTGAGAATGCTCGAGGTAAATCAGAACCTCTAATTGAATCATTATGGTGAAGGCGTCTATCTTGCTTAGATTTAGATCTAACCCACTCTCATTCGTAGAATCCAGGAAGCCAAATCTATAAATCCCAATGTGGAGAAGTAGAAGGAGAAATTGAAAACAAGGGATCAGTCTGACTTTAGAATGTCTATTGACAAAACTCTTAGGTTTTGAGACCGTTTGTGGGTGTCTAATGACTTGGAACTCAAACTGGATATTGTGAATGAAGCTCATACCTCCAAATTGATTATCCATCATGGTACCACTAAAATTTACCAGGATTTGAGGCTCCGTTTCTAGTGACCCGTCATGAAGCGCAACATAGTTGATTTTATCTTCAGATGCCTTACTTGTCAACAGGTTAAGGTGGAACATCAGAGACCTAGTGGTCTTTTACAGTGCCTTCCTATCCCTAAATCAAAATGGGAACATGTGACAATTGACTTTGTCACAAGTTTTCTAGAGACTTGATTTGCACACAATGCAATATGGGTCATAGTTCACAGATTGGCCTAATCGGCTCATTTCTTGACAATAAAGACAACTAATTCAGTTGGCAAGTTGATTGGGTTGTATATTCAGGAGATCATCAGACTCCATGGTATTTCAATTTCCATTATTTCCAGCAGGGGCCCTCGCTTCACCTCCTGATTTTGTACAAGTTTTTAAGAAGCTCTAGGTACCAGTCCTCCTTTAGCACTGCGTACCATCCATAAACTGATGCTTAGTCTAAAAGAACCATTTAGACACTAGTGGATATGTTAAGGACTTGTGTATTTCATTTTAGTGGTAACTGGTACAGGCATTTACCACTGGCAGAATTTGCCTACAAAATAGTTATCACTCTAGTATCGGTATGGCTCCTTATGAAGCACTTTATGGTAGGCCTTGCTGATCCCCAACTTTTTGTAGTGAAATCGGGAATATACATTTTCTGAGAACATATCTTATTTAGGAGAAAATAAATAAGATTGTCATCATCCACAAGTGACGTAATACTCGCTAAAGACAAATCTAAACTAGAGGAGTGCAAAAAGCAGGCAAGTACTGATGATTTTTTAGGAAATGAAAAAAAGTAATTACAACGTAACAATACTCCAAACTACTCTAATCATTACGACGTATCAAATAGCGAGGTCGAATCCACCGAACAGAGTTCCCGACCTAGGAAGAAATGACACTAGAAGGTGTCAGAAACCCAAAGGGTAACAGGCCTTACTATTAAGGAACAGTATCAAATTGTGGGTCTCCCGGCTTAGGTTCCTTGGCCAGAATATGACCAAGTTCTCCTTTTCCTTCGAGAATTGTCCGGATTAATTGTAACCTATTTAGGGAATTCTTTCCACTCAGGCGGTAGACAGTTTGAATATGTTAAATTTGTCCATTGGATTGTTGTGGATTCGTCATGTTAAGGTTTGTGCCGGTAACATAAAATGTAACATCTGAAATGATCTAAAGTTTTCTGAGCAGTTAAGGTCGATTTGATAAGAAAAAACAAAACCCACCAAGCTATACAGATGCAAGCAGGGTAAACGCGTAGCTGGAGCAGGGCAGCTGCGTGGCTACTTACAAAGTTGCATCTAGAAAGCTGACTAGAAAAGACTACATGTGGCAGAGTAGAAGGTGGTGCAACTGCTGTGTGCGACAAAGCAGAAGGTGGTGCAGCTGTTGGATCTTGTAGTGCAGCTAGAGGCAAGAATGGAGGTATGGCTCCTGAAGATGGAGGCCAGTCTTGGTGGGTGGCGGCCCCATTTTGGTGGATGGTGGCCGGTTTGTGGTGGCCGGCTGCTGTTGTGGTGGTGGTCGTCTATGAAGGCTATCCTCCTTAAGGTTTTTTCTCATTTCAATAATAAAGGCTGATTAAGGTTTATAAAAGAGAGCTAGGGTTTTTTCTCTAATGCTTTGATACCATGTGGAAAAATAGAATATTGTGTATTTCATTAAATATTACAACTCTATATATACAGCTTCTCATAAACAATAAAAGGAAACACAATTAATTACACTTAATATACACTTCCTAGTAAGTCTTACGAACATGAAGTGTATTATGATGTAATCAACATGAAAGCTTGGTATTTCTCACTAAGCAAACTTATTTTACAAGACCGTCATTGAAAAAGAAAAAAAAAAGAAACTTGAAGTAATGACCAAACTCTGAAAAAGTAAAAGGTTCACATATGAGGTGACAAGAAAGGAAAATTTTGACATGTCTCTACAAAATGAAGGGCCAAGACAAAAACTAGATCTGTACAAAAGAAAAAGGAAAAGCTCAAGGAACAGTTGAGCAAATAGGCAAATTATAATAGCAACAGATTAAAGAACAAGAGATGGATGTTATATGGATAGGTATATGTGACTTCTCTGAGTTCACTTAAAGGCCGATTAAGGTTTATAAAAGAGAGCTAGGGTTTTTTCTCTAATGCTTTGATACCATGTGGAAAAATAGAATATTGTGTATTTCATTGAATATTACAACCCTATATATACAGCTTCTCATAAACAATAAAAAGAAACACAATTATTTTAAGCAAAATGTGACAAATTATTTTAAGCGAACTCAGAGAAGTATTAAAAAGTGACAAATTATTTTAAGCGGAAGTATTAAAAAGTTCATTGGGAAACAAAGATAGTAGGACAAGCGAAGGCAACTCATGACAGGGAAAACAGCAAACTCACATTCACTATATGAAATGTAAGATGAACACCCACATATGCACCATATATGCAACTGTACCCTATATGCAAAGGACCATTATTCTGGAATCCAACTGCACCCTACAGAAATATTTATCCTATATGCACCCTATATGCCATTGTACCCTATATGCAAAGGACCATTATTCTGGAATCCAACTGCACCCTATATGCAGCATTTTGGCCCTTTTCATTACTTACCTTCAAGGCAGCATCATTTAGTTGCAGTTTCTCCAACGCATCACGTAGCTCAGGAAACCTGCCATTGAAAAACATAGAGTAAAAGTTATAAAAGATATCAGTGTCCACAGCGATTCATTCTGGGATTAAGAAAGCAGAAGACAACAAAGATATAATACTGGTCTGCATCAACAGGAAATAGGCCACAGAAGACCATTGGAGTGGCTTCTTCATATCCAGGTAGCGAGTTTTCTGCCCTTCTTCCATAGTGAGTAATAGTGTCACCCACTCTAGCATCCGCAACAGATCTTATTGATGCAGATAGGTAGCCTACCTGGAAGTTAAAGAAAGAGAAAATGAAGTCAAGTTGAATTCTAAGGAATGAAGGAAATAATATCATTTGAAATACATATGATAATCATGTAGGATATGAAGAAAGATACCACAGCTTCATCTAAAGTGTTTCTTTTTCCTTTTTCCTCTCCCTCTTCCTTCTTTTGATATTCTAATGGCTACTTGATGAATTGTTAATATAATTCTTTTATTTCTAAAATAAATTGATGGACAGAATTCCTCAAATACAAAAGATTTTGGTGAAGACCAGCAAAAATATCTTGGGTTCATATTTTCACACGAATGTCAAAAGTTGAAAAAGATAGTAAAGACACTGACGAAAGTCCATGGTGTTATATAAGTCAAAGAAGATAGGAGTACCAAAAAAATATATATATGTATATATATATATATATATATGACATTGGCACATGTAAAAAACTGATGAACTTAGGACCACAAAATGAACAACCTTTCTAAAAACAAAAAGAGCGGAGGAAAAAGAAATCTTAAAAGCTTTAAGATCTACCTTGTCTCCTCCAAACAGTAATTGCTTAACAAGACGAATACAACCAAATAAACAAAAGGCAAGAGAATTAAAGTTATATTAAAAAAAGAACAGAACAGGAACTTGACTTTAAAAAAATAGAAGGTAGCATTCGATTAATTATGTAGCATGAAGTAGAGAAATGAAGATATCTGAAAATTTTCCATGAGCTTTTGCCCATAGGGAAGCCAAAAACATCATCTTCTCCCAAAGAATTTCAAATGAGAGCGATTTATCTTTGGAGACCTGATAATTTCCAATCATATCATCCATAAACCTGCAAATAGAGCTCCTTATAATAGAGGTTTAGCTTTTTCCCTCGCCCCTAAGCCATACAAGTTAGAATTCATATACACTCTTGAGGAGAAAGTGTTATCCAATTTAAACCAAATGAATCAAATACATGTATCCATAACTTCCAAGTCACTTCATGCTGAAGGAACAGGTGATTTGTGTTTCCTCTCCTTTTTGGCACATTACACAGATGTTCAAAGATGAACTCATTTAGGCCTCCAAACCAGCAAAAGCTCATTGATTTTCAGCAGATTTAGAAGGGTTTAATTTGTCAAAAACATTGGTGAAATGGCTATGATAACAGTCAGAGTACAGATTGATATGATCAAAAAATGATTTGTAAGTATAAATGCCAGAGGTTCCAAAGTCCATATCCAATTATCCGCCTGTTGGAAAAACTGGACATGTTATGGTAATCTCAATAAGTTAATAAGTTCATCAGTGTCTCTATCATCAAAATTTTTAAAAAAATGTAAGTTCCAGGTTGTAGTACAATTGGTTTGGCTCATAAATTGAGTGATATTATGTATTATGACAACAGGAGAGACATTAAACATGCGGGGAAATTGGAAGATAGAAGATGGTCGCCCTTCAATGATCCTCGAACAAAACCTTATGTCCATCTCCGAATTTATATCGCATAAGGGGAGAGAAAAGGTGTAACAAACTAGAAATGAGCTTCCATGGGGCTTGTTTTATGGAACTCCAGAGACTATATCCCATCAATTCCATTGTCCCATCAATGCTTTTAATCACTCAATGCCACACTAAAGTGGGTTCCCGCAGAAAACACTATAACTATTTAACCAATAGTGACAAATTCCATGATTCATATTCCTAATGCCCAAAACTAAAGAATCTGGACCGACAACACATCTCCAATTACATGAATGATTCCCGGTCTCCTCTCTTGGCCTTGCCCATGAGAACTTTCTCATCACCCACTCTGATGTCTCGATAACTCCGACTGGTATTTGGAACAATTACAAGTAGTAATAAGAATACTAGATAAACGTGTCTACATTAGTGCGACTTTACTCCCCAAGAAAAACAAGTCTCCTTGACAACTATCTAAATTTCTAGGCACCTTTTCAACCATCCTATCCCAAAACACTTCACATCTAAGGATTTCCCCCTAATCGTACACCTGAATAGGTAATTGACAAGCTTATTTAGGAAACCTGTTGCCTCAGCCAGGTTGCTCATAATAGTGAGAGAAATTTGAGTCAACCTAAGTTTCACCAATCATATAAATTACTCTTATGTTCTTTGATATTCATATTTGGAGTGGTCAATATCTCTTTTTTTAACAAAATTTACCTACTCGTCCACAAGTATTTGCGCTCATTATCTCCGTGGATAAACTAAGTTCTTTTACACCTAATGAAAAAATGAAATCATTCCATTATTCCAAAAACCATCTGAGTCTTCCATTACTGAGGAAAGGAATTTCTTTTTATAGGATAATCTTGCTGTCTAAAATGTATCTATGTCAACATGTTAATAGAGAATAAGCAGCATCTAAATATAAAGCAACATATGAATGTATCATGTACCTCACCCGCATACAATTCAGCCACTTGAATCTGATTTGGGGATAGAACTCCAATTTCATCAGCAAAATAGTCCTGCAATATAGTGATAAATTATGGGAAAGTTAATACAAATATCCACATATCCCAAAGCTTTCAAAGAATTCTTTTTATGAAAATATTAATTTGTATTAGAGAGAAGAGAAAAAGTACAAATGCAGAAGACAAGAAATCCTCCTACAAAGAAAAAGAAAGACTGGAAAGCAATATATCAAGATTGCAAAGCAATCGAGTCCCTTCAAAACAGCCAAAGAGACATCCGGAAGTAACCATGAGCCTTAGGCCACAAGGCACTAGAGAAGGTCATTGGTCAGAAAAGAAAGAAGGATGGATATTAAGATCCTTAAGTATCCTAGCATCACGCTCCAATCACACATCTACAGACCAGCAAAGATGGTTCCGCTAACAAAGCACTAATTTCCTTCTTCTTCCTGCCTCTGTTAAGGAAAGTAGATAGAGAACCCTCAATAGATTGGGGAACACTAGATCAGTCCTGAAGGCATAGACCAATGCATGTTATGCAGACTCATCTATTGATAGGAATCTACTATGGGCTATTCTATTTTTCCTGGAGACAATTTTGCGACCTAAATGAGTAAGAAGCAAAATATGGTTGGCAGATCAAGTGCAAACACAGATTCAGAGTAACTGAATAGGGAGTGTGTGAATATAGCAGCCAAAGATCATTTTAGAATATTTAAGGATCAGATGAAGGACCACTAATATTACTTTCGGAAACAAGTTTTCCATTGACATGGCTCACAATCTTGTGCTGACAATTTAAGAAATTTTGAGTAGAAAAATTTTTGTGTCCTCCATGTAAGAAAATTCTCATTATATATACAAATATACAAACTAATTTTCTACCCTTAAATTAGCTAAACAAATATGTCATAATTAAAGCTATTAAAACTATACAAATCATAAAATTAAACAAATCTGTTGACTAATTAATTGCATAATTTGCTGTTATAATTATCTGAAATCTATTAATTAATTGTATAAAATCTACTGGCATATATGCCGATTAATTGCATATAATCTACTAACATAATTATAACAAATCTGCTGATTAACTGCATAATATTTATTAATTAGTTGCATAAAATCTGCTGGTTAATTAATTCTCAATTAATTCCTTTGACATCTCCCCTCAAATTGATGCTGGTAAATCGACAAGTATCAATTTACTAACAAAAAAGTTATGGCACTGACGTGTTAAAGATTTAGTGAAAAGATCTGCAATCTGTAAGATAGTGGATATATGTGGCAGGGTAATAACTTGACTGGTCATATGCCTCCCATATGGAATGACAGTCAACTTATATGTGCTTCATCCTTTCATGGTAGACAGGGTTGGCAGTGATTTGGATCACACTAGTGTTGTTTGCGTGTAGTGGAGTATGTTGAATTTGCGAGAAACCGAACTTCGTAAGGAGACCACGCAGCCAAATGATCTCGGAGCATGCAGCAAACATGGCTCGGTACTCTATCTCGGTGGAAGAATTAGATACAGAATCATATTTCTTACATTTACAAGAGATAAGGGCATCACCAAGAAACATACACCATCCAGTAGTAAATTTTCTAGTGTCTGGACACCCTGCCCAATCAGCATCACTATAAACTTGTAGTTGAAGAGAAGAACCAGTAGGAAAGAATAACTCACGACTAGTAGTGCCACGGATATACTTGATAATTCGTCGGACTGCTGATAGGTGAAGATGTTGAGGAGCTTGCATGAATTTACTGACGATGTGGACAGCATAAGAAATGTCT